TCAAAGCGGAGAAAGAAGGCCGCAGGACAGAGCCCTCCAGCCCGGCACCAGTGGACGAGCGTTGCCTGAGGAGGCACGTCCCCACTGACCCTGGGGCTGGGCAGGAAGGCAGCCAGAGCCCAGGCAGAGGGGACAGGATTCTCCAGCCCCTTCCACGACGTGTCACCTGTCAGTCAGGACACAGACAGGGGCCACATGGCCTTCCCTCAATGACGCAGGGCACAGAACGTGGCTGGAGGGTCCCGCCCACTCAGTGTGACAGAGACAAAGGGCCGCAGCGGGCCCAGGGGAAGGAGGACGTGAGCACGGGTGGGGCCGCTGACCAGCTTGCCCGAGCAAAGCCTCTGCGAAGAGCTGCTGTGGCCGTCACAAGGGTGGCTCTTGGATGGCGGCAGCTGCCTTATGGCTACTTTAATGTATGGTTTTTCAGTAGAAAGGGAAATCGTAAGCTCAGAGGGGCAGTCCAGTATCTCCTCTCGCAATTCTGTTAAGTACTTTTATGCATTAAGATTTTTATGTGTAAAAACCATCTCAGTAATCTAAAAAGGGTGCCTGGCCCCCAGAGGTTACATCAGAACCGCACGTGAACGTGGGATGAGTGGGTGGGTAGATGTGTGGACAGATGGACGCTTAGATATGGGTAGGGGTGTGGGTGGATGGATGGACAGGCGGATGGATGGACAGGTGGATAGATGGACACATGGACTCAGATGTGGGTAGGTAGGTGGATGGACCGGTGAATAGGTGAATGGGTGGGTGGATGGGTGCTGGCAGGATGAATGGGTGTATGCATAGATCTGAGTATGTGGATGGGTGGGTGGATGGATGGACAGATGGACTCAGATGTGGGTAGGTGGGTGGCTGGATGTGTGGATGGAGGCATGCATGCATAGATGTGGGTGGATGGGTGGGTAGGTGAATAAATAGATGGTCAGTGGATGGATGGGTGAAAAGATGTGGTGGGTGGGTGGGTGGCAGAGGGAGGTTGGAAGATGAACAGTTTCTCATTCCTATGGACAAGGTATTTCCAGACAGAGTTTATAATATCACAATAGCAGCAGCCCGAGGCGTGACTGCATGTTCCCAGGCACACTCCTTGGGACAGCACAGCAGGGGCCCAGCTACTCACTGTGCACAGGAGGCAGCCAAGCCTCAAAGAGCTTGAATTACATGTTCAAGGTCACGTAGCAGGTGTTAGAAGCAAGATGATGTCCTAATTTCTGACCCCTGGCCTTTGCCTCATGAGTTCACATTCACTTGAGCTCAACTTGTAATTATAAAGCCCCAGCTCTGTGAAATCAGCCAAGAGCTGAATGGTTTTAGGAGTGACTTCAGCTGGCGTCCTCCCTGGAGAAGAGCAGTCTGTGGCAGAGCCTCTGATGCTGCTGTGGGCCCAGCCCTGGTCCCTGCGGTCACGTGAGCACCACCTGGGCTTGCACATGGAGCAGGTCCTGTGTGAACATCGGGCTCCTTTTCAATTTCCTGTCTCTACACCACTCATGTTAGGGACGCAGGACAGAGGGTCTTCTGCCCCCGCTGGGCAGTAAGGAAAGAGCTGCTGGGTGGAATGCAGGCCTACAGCGGTCCCCAGCCCTGAAGAGCCCTGTTCTGTCCCTTGCCCGAGGCTCCCTGGGCACACTGACCGCCTCTCCTGTGACCCCTTCCCTGCAGTGGGAGGCCCCGGGTGAGCTATTTAGAGCAAATAAAAACTATAAGTTTGGGGCACACAAAGGAGGCCTTGCTGTGAGATGGGTGGGTTGATAAGATCTGCTTGTGGCAATGTTTTAAAGGAGTCTCTGCGGGTAGCCGGGCGGGCGGCCACATGCTTCTCATAGATGCAGAATTTCTGCCACAGCAAGTCCGCAGGCCACACCATGGCGCTTTTGTTTCCCGGGCGCTCCCTGGTGACCCTGAGCGGGGCATCCAGCGGCAGAAGTATTCCACAGTTGAGAAGGGTTCTCTCAGCCCTGGCCCACACGCCCAAATTCCACAGCTCCTCTGCAGGCTCGCTGCGTCCCACGGGAGCCGGCGGCTGGAGGCACACAGGTGCCCAGGGCACATAACCCTGCGGCCCAGGCCAGCAGTGTCCTTACAGGAGGCAAGAGCCTCAGGCCAGCGCCCTGAAGTGAGATCACAGGGCACACAGGAGGCAACACAGGAGACACTCGGTGTCATGACCCGGGCACTAGACATGCCACCTCAGCCCATTGGGCCAGCAGAGCCACACACCAGACAATCGCCACAGTCAGGGACAGTGGTCCACTTGGGACTGGAGTGTTTCCTTCTACAGCTAATCAAGAAAGTGGGGCCAGAAGCTCTTCTGCCACATAATGCCTCCCAGCACACAGGACACCTTCTTCATAGGAGAGGGACCTACAAATTTTCTCCAACTGGGGGGCGACCTGTTCATACCACCCTTGAAAAGAGAATCCCCAGGCCATGGCTCTGAGCAGAAGGAACATCTCCACTTCTTTCTTCTTTAGCTTTCCTTGGTATTTTTCTGAAACCCGTGCAGTGGGGGAGTACGAGGCCGTGTCTGCAGAAGGGAGCTGGTATCCGGAGCGTCACTGAGGGGCTGCAGGCCCTGGCCGTGCCGGGGACACCCGGGGCAGGTGGTGTGCTCACAGAAGGGAG